CGCTGAAGGACCTCAAGCAACAGGGAAGGACGCGAAGGAGACGAAAGAAAGCTCTGGTGATTCTTTGTTTCTTTTTATTTGCTGCATTAAAACGAATATGAATTGGCTTTTCTTTTATATGGAAATGTAGAAACACCTTCAGATGACCTTATTTGGTTCTGTCTGTCTTTCTATTCTCTATTTCAGCTTGATAGATAGATACAGCCTGTGTTTGTTGGCTTTCACTTCCTCTGTATTTGTTCTTTTTATCTATCCGTAATTGAATTTGTATTTTTCGGGTGTTTTTCTGTTTCTGTTTGTCTTTCTTTTCCCTTTTATGTTTCCGTCCGCGTCTGTCTCTCGCTTTTCTCGACTTCGTTTCTTGCTCAAGTCCGAGCCATCTCGTTATTTGTTTAAGGGTTGCGAGGTGCAGCATACTTTGGGTGTATCTGCAGATGTAGGAGGAAAACGCTTCGTGAGCAGTTTATTATTTCGTCTCCGCCGGATTTGTAATCATTCTCTGCTCATGCAGAGTCGATACACCGCAGAGCAGAAGGACGTACGTGCGAAATACAGATACTGAAGCTATTCTACTTCTTTTTCTGATTCTGCATCTTCTGATTTGTCACATCTGCTTCAGGTGGTGCTGTTGAGTTTGGGGCCTCTCTTGTGCCTCTCTTTCTCTCATGCGGTTTCTTTGGCTCTCCCTCGTGCTGTTTCTCTGCTCATCTCTTCTTCCTGTCTGCTTTTCCTTTGCATGCCTGTGCTTCTGTTTCTGTTTCTGCTCACTCCCTGTCTGTATGCCCATACGTGAAGGTGGATCTGGTGCTGCAGTACGCGTGCTGTTTGTTTCTCTATTTATTTATTTATATTTGATTTATTTGGGGTGTATATACAGCGCATGGCTCGCCACTACGCTTACCATGTGGATGGCTTCAAGGGAAATCCGATTGAAAAAATTCGAGCGGAGTTCGATCGGTGGAGTGATTATGAAATTCATCAGGTGGAGATCTGCACGCATAACACATTCACAACAACAACAGTTTATTTTACTTTAATTATAAATTATAATTATAATTACAGTGTTACGAATAAGAAATAATAGTAGTACTTATTGTACTGGAGGCGATGATAGTGAAAAACTTGTCAATAATAACAATAATTCGAGTTGTTGTACGAATAGTAATAGTAGTGATGCTAGTAGTGACCCCGCTTTATTGTAATATTCATTATTATTATTAGTTAATTAATTATTATTTCATTATAATAATTGTTATTAGTTTATTAATTAGTTAATTTGTTACCCATGATCATCAATGACCTGCATGAAGAATT